GATGGGATATGGATGAAATATTTCCTCGGTAGAGTTCCAAACCTCAAGCTTATGGTTCAAAGATGACCTTCTCTTCCTCAAGTGAAGATTGTTACCCTCGACGGTAATATCCTCTGTGTGGCCTGGGTAGAATTATTTTATTGAAAAAAAAATTTGCGATTCCCCAATCAAAGTCACTTCTATCGAAGACTTACATCGGAAGGTCCCAATTCCCAGCAAGATTCTCTTTATCCTTGGAAAGAGATGTTGGATTTTTTCCCTAAGAAGTTGGGAGTTGGATCAGAGTTCGAAAATTTCCCTGAACTGCAATTTATTTTTGCAGTATTTTCCCCAGTGAAGCGAGTTTTCATTCCCTAGTGGAGCATGCTTTCTAGAACAAGTGTCATCTTCTCCCCAGTATGGTGCACATGGGAGCACCAATTATAACTCCTTCATCCCGGAATATGAAAGATTTTGTTGAGATGTCAGCGGTGGAGTTTCTGTCCTGGGATGTTTTGGTTCTTCCCCAAGTGAAGATTTTTATCCCCCGACGTTGTTATCCCCAGTGTGGTCTGAGTAGAATTCTATTTATTTAAGAATTTCTATACTCCCCAGTAGAAGCTATCTTCGTAAAGAAGTTCTGCGCAAGAGAAAGCTTCCATCCCCAGCGAAGCTCTCCCCGTTCTAACAGAAGATAAAGTATCTATCCCCTAGGAATTTGGAAGTTTGATCAGAATTCAAGATTTTCTCTCAAACTGCAATTTATTTTTTGCAGTATTACTACCCAGGAAGTTATTTCTTCAATGTTATCAATCGTTCGAGGTTGATGGTTTCGAATCTCGATTTCCTACTGAAGTTCATATTGCATGTTCTCTACAGAAGATTAGATGTGCAAGAATAATCATTTGAAATTTCATTGTCTTCCCAACATCCGATTATTGACGTGGTTTCCCCAGTGCATTACTAAACATGCATCATTACATTGCATCATTACATCACATCTACTAAAATGCATATCATTTCCATTGCATGGAGCATTACGTTATAAAAAAATTCAAACATGCATAAGTATAAGCCAATTATGTCCACTTGTGGTAACCAGATTATTATGCGCTCAGATTTGATTTATCTCCACAACAAGCCTAAGGGTGACTCTATTATGTTTCCCCAGCGGGGTTTGTTTTGATTCACCATCAGTCGGGTCTTTGGTATTCCTCTATCTCCCCAGTAAGTTTGTGGTTTGCGCTTTCCTTTGCAAGCCTTTTGTTATTTTACCCGTGTTTGCTTTGCTGTTAGAGTGCGAGTAAGAGTCGCGTATAGCCTTTCTTATTTCTCAAGTATTTGAGTGTCCATACTTGGTGTGTGGTAATTTAGATGACTGCCACTCTTGAAGAATTACACCCCGCCTTTGGCCTGAGGGATTTTTTAGTTCTTGTGTATTTGCAACCTATCGAAAGCCTAACATGTTTTTCTTTGTTAGAGTCTGCTTGGACCAGTCCCTTTCTCTTGCAGAATTCACATTCGATCGGTGCTCTTTGAAGGTCCTGCTTAGTCGGTTCCTTGTTTTGGTTTATCCACGTTAGTCGGGTCCTCCTTTCGTTAGCCTAGCTAATCTTTTATGTTAAGAGTCTTTCAGTGTCTCTTCAAAGTCTAGTTGTCTAGCATCCTTACTTAGGCGAATGCGCCCTTTTTATTGGGGCTTTCTTCGGTTAGTCTCGTTCATGTGTTCACTAGCAATTCTAAACATTTGTTTCTTGATGATCAACTTCGCTCTTGTGTATCTAACTCTGACCAGACATGCATACCTGTATCTTTCAAAACCCCGCTTCGGCTGGTATCTTTTGTCAAAATCCCGCTTCGGATGGTGTCATTTCTTTTAAATCCACCTTCGATTGACATCATTTGTCCGGAGTCCCATTCGGCTGGTCTCTTTGCAGTTGTAAGTTCACCTTCGATTGGTGTTTTCTTTGCGAGAGCTTTCTTTTCTATCTCTTTCGTACGTATCCGATACCGACCACGGATATGTACCTTTGATATCTCTTTTGTGCGTATCCAATACCGACCACGAATATGTATCTTTTCTATATCTTTTGTGCGTATCCGATACCGACCATGGATATGTATCTTTTCTATCTCTTTCTTACGTGTCCGATACCGACCACAAATATGTATTTTTTATGTCTCTTTCTTATATATCCGCTACCAACCCCGGATATGTGTCTCTGATATTTTTTTGTATGTCTACTACAGGCTTCAGGCATATATCTTTTGATACCTTTCTTACAGGTGTCTGTTGCTAAATCCCAACAGATGTTCCTCGATAACCAAGTTATTCCGCTGTGTGTCAAACCCTGGTTGAACATACATCTAACCTGATAACCCCTTTTACCTAGCAAGAAAAAAATAATACAAAAAAAAAAACCAAAAATGATACCTGACTGGCTTCGGAGCGCAAATTTTCGGGTTCTTTTAGTATTTAATCTTCTTCTACCTTGAAAGTTCGAAAGGCTGGCGCCAATCTCACCTTCAGGTTGAAGGCGATTAAATAGGGGCAGCTGTTGCACCCCAAAATTTGCCCTCCTAATTTCCTTTATTTTTGGCTTAGACTTTTGCATTCATCTGCATCTTTTTCATTAGGTCACTAACATGGCATACATTTCATTCAATATAGCTCTGAGGTTCAAAGTTCAGTGGTTGTGTGATACTAGGGTTTCATAGTGGTTAAGGCGCTCATATCCAATAAAGGACTTCTTCTCCCTCAAGCAACAAGGCTATTATCTTCTGGTAAACAACCGATTGAGGTCATTCTGGTCAAGAACTCTAGGACGTGACTTAGCATATGTGGGCTTCGAATCATGACGTCCTTTCCTATAAGTATGCTTGTCATTTGATTAGGATTAATGACTGTGACATGACAATCGTCTACTCCTCAGCTAATCAAATTAGGTTTTGTTGAATCATGGTTCAAAGATGTTTTATCCGGATATTTCTCTATGCGTCTGAATGAGGAATCAAGATTGTGAGGGTTTCACATCAAGGGAATTCTTCTGTGATTCAGACTTTATCATCCATCTGTAAGATGTTCCTTATGACACTAATCTCAAGTTGAAATAACCGATCGCTAAGGGCTGAGGATTGAATTGTGAAGCATGGTTCATGACCTAAGATATGAATTCATAGATTTCTCCTTAACCAAGGCAATCATTGTCCTCATCATTGTCATTTGTTATCTGCGATGTGAGTAGGTTTGGATTGAAGTAGGTTTCCCATAGAAGAATTCATGCAAGGTAATTCAAGGTTCAAGGCATTCAAGGCAGGGTTTGTTCAACATGGCATACCTGGTTGATGGGCTTACAAGCTCTTATGAGACCTTGAGATGCATAATCATGGGTCAATTTCAAAGATATGTGGATAAGATCTGTTGACTTCGGCTAAAGTAAGCTTTGAAAAATTAACTTTGGGACCAAGGTCTCCCTTGAATTTTCATCTAATATGTGTTGGGAATTCGAGTTGCATTTGAAGAATGGTATGGCAAAGGAAAAGAAATATTGGTTCAGAAAAGAAAAAATTCATTAAAAATCAGGGTTTCTATTCATTGATAAAAGTTCAAATAATCGAAGATCAAGGGGAAATAAGGTTTCATGTTAATCTCGATCATGTTCTTTCATTATCATTTGTGTACATCTTTGATGATTAAAGGTCGTCAATTAGAGAAGGACTTTGTCAAGATAAGAGACTTATGGATTAAAGGTCGTCAAGGTTGTGAATTTTTAGAATCAAGATCTTATTGGCTATTCGAATTATTTGTCATTCAAGTTGATTTGGGATTCAAGATTGAAGTTAGGAGTTCATTGAGAATGCAAGTGTGATTTGGACTTGAAGTTTGATTTAAATTCAACATGTTCGAAAGTGTTTGACTGGATTAAAGTCGGCAAAGAGTCTTAAGTATTGTTCATATGGCTTTCTTGGAAGGTAAAGTGCAGACTGCGAGGTTTTGTTTCAAGTCAGAGTTCATACGCATTACAAAGACGTTCATCGTTATTCCAGATTCAAGTTGACATGTGTTCAAAGTTTATTCGAACCCTTTCATTCATGATTCAAGAAAATACTATCCAATTCCATTCAATTTCATTCTCATTCATGGTTCAAGAAAATACTATCCAATTCCATTCAATTTCATTCAAGTGTAACAATACCTTACAAGAAAATTTGATGCTTTCATGTCTTCAAGCATTTTCTCAAGACTTTGTCATTTAAACTCCATCCTTAAAATTCATCACCCCAACATTTCAAGCTCAAAGGTCATTTACTATTCACACTATAAATTTCAAGTTCATCCAAACCAAACATTCATTATAAAATCATTACAATCCCATTACACCAATATTCTACAAAAAAAAACTATTACAAAATACACTTGAACAAAATTCTTTAGTCCTAAAGGTGCTAAAATTCCATGAGTAAACTTCTAAATTCCATACCATGCCAAAGTTCTTCATCTTCAGTTCATGACCTGCACATTCATACAAAAAAATCCAATTCAATACAAGCAATCATGCCAAAATATCCTATGCTCATACAAATTATTCGACACATGAAAAACCATTAATTAACCCAAACCAAATGCTAAACACATATATGGAACAACCTGCATACCTTAACTTTGGCAGAGAATAGATCCACATCATTCAAACTAATTGCAATTGAAATGAAAATCAAATTCAGCTTCAGAACAATGTCCTTCTTCCCGTTCCAGCATTTTTGTATGCTATAAACAACTATCTGAAGTTTGTCATGCAGCTTTATTTTAATCCTGCTACTGTGAAGATGTTAAGTAATTTGAAGGTGTTAGTAATAGCACTTTTGTTAAAGGTAGTTATGAAGCGCAGGTTTTCTATCATTCAGTGGGAAGCCCTTGCTCTCTTGCTCATTGGTATAAGTGTTAATCAGCTACGATCTTTACCCGAGGGGATTACAGCTATGGGTCTTCCTCTCTCTCGCTCGATCGCATTCGTGTAACCATGAACGAGAAAGCCAACGTTTCTAAGGAGCTCAACACAAAGCACAAAAGGATACTAGAAGGACTTCTTAAATTCCCAGAGAATAGGGAGTGTGCTGACTGCAAAACTAAAGAACCAAGATGGGCTAGTGTCAATCTTGGCATCTTTATTTGCATGCAGTGTTCAGGAATACATCGAAGTCTTGGGGTACATATTTCAAAGGTTCGCTCTGCTACTTTAGACACTTGTCTCCCAGAGCAGGTTGCATTTATTCAATCTATGGGAAATGAGAAAGCAAATAGTTATTGGGAAGCAGAATTACCTCCAAATTATGACAAAGTTGGTATTGAAAACTTCATCCGTGCAAAGTATGAAGACAAGAGATGGGTTGCAAGGGACACTAAGCCAAAATCACCTTCTAGACTGGTAGAAGAGAAAAGTCATTCACAATGGCAAAAACCTGTTGAAAGAGTTGGGCATAATTATGTTGCAGAGAATACTTTTGAAGAAAGGAGGACATTTACTGGACCCATTTCCAGTTCATCCATTTCACCCAATTTCTGCACGACGATTTTCAACAACAGCTTGCACTTCCTAAAACATTTTCTGACAATTTAAAGAAGAAATTGCCAGAAAATGTGGTCCTTAAAGGTCCTAGTGGAGTTGTGTGGAATATAGGGCTGGTAATTAGAGATGATTCTGTTTACTTTGTGAACGGTTGGGAACGATTTGTGAAGGATCACTCTTTGAAAGAGAATGATTTCCTTGTCTTTAAGTACAATGGTGAATCACTCTTTGAGGTTTTAGTCTTTGATGGAAACAGTTTCTGTGAGAAGGCAGCTTCTTATTTTGTTGGAAAATGCAGACCTGCTCAAACTGAACAAGGTGGTAGCAAGGCAAAGGACAACAGCAATTCTGTTGAAGAAGTCAATACTGCTTCTAATGGGGGTGTTACTGTTGAGTGTGGTTCATCTGAGAAACTTCGGCATCTTAAGAAAGTAGGAGCACCATTAGCTGTACCTTTTGAAACTGCCAACGGAAAGACTTCCAATGTTGGCGTAAGAACTGATTCCCCTGAGCTGTTCGTGGCGGATGCAGCCACTAAAACCACACTCTAATCTCATTCTATTTTCTCCACAACTTTTCAACTCAGTATCATGGCATCTGACAAAAAATCAAGATCAGTATCAACGAATTTGGACGAATCGGTCGTTTGGTTGTGAGAGTTGCTCTTCAAAGAAACGATGTTGAACTCGTTGCTATCAACGATCCTTTCATCACTACTGATTACATGACATATATGTTCAAGTATGACTCTGTTCATGGCCAGTGGAAGCATTTTGAGCTCAAGGTCAAGGACTCTAAAACCCTTCTTTTCGGTGAGAAAGAAGTTGCTGTTTTCGGAACTAGGAACCCTGAGGAGATCCCATGGGGTGAAGTTGGAGCTGACTTTGTTGTTGAGTATACTAGTGTTTTCACTGACAAGGATAAAGCTGCTGCTCACTTGAAGGGTGGTGCTAAGAAGGTTGTTATTTCTGCCCCAAGCAAAGATGCACCAATGTTTGTTGTTGGTGTTAACAAGAAGGAATACAAATCAGACCTTAACATTGTTTCCAATGCTAGCTGCACTACCAACTGCCTTGCTCCCCTTGCCAAGGTTATCAATGACCGATTTGGAATTATTGAGGGTCTTATGACCACTGTCCACTCCATCACAGCTACTCAGAAGACTGTTGATGGTCCATCAAGCAAGGACTGGAGAGCTAAAAGAGCTGCTTCCTTCAACATCATTCCCAGCAGCACTGGAGCTGCCAAGGCTGTTGGAAAGGTTCTTCCAGAACTAAACGGTAAATTGACCGGAATGTCATTCCGTGTTCCTACCGTTGATGTTTCAGTTGTTGACCTCACTGTCAGGCTTGTGAAGAATGCAACCTATGAGCAGATCAAAGCTGCTATCAAGGAGGAGTCAGAGGGTAAACTCAAGGGTATTTTGGGTTACACTGAAGATGATGTTGTATCTACTGACTTTATTGGTGATAGCAGGTCTAGCATATTTGATGCCAAGGCAGGAATTGCTTTGAATGAAAACTTTGTGAAACTTGTTTCTTGGTATTCCATGGGGCACAGATGAATGTGGGAATATGATAGATGATACCTCATTGAACCTTTCCCTATCTCAAGACCAGCTCTTTAGCATACATGATTTTTCACCTAAATGGGCTTATGCTGAATCAGAAATTCAGGTGTTTATTATTGGAACAGTTTTGAAGAGTAAACCAAATGTGGAAACATGTAACTGGTCTTGTATGTTTGGGGAAGTTGAAGTTCCAGCTACTGTTTTAGCTAATGGAATTCTATTCTGTCAAGCTCCACCTCTTGAGATTGGACTGATCCCTTTCCACGTAACTTTTTCCAATAGATTTGCTTGTAGTGAAGGTACCAGAAAGTATATTAAGTTGAAACGTAAGACAGATGCTGATCAATCTAGTTCTGGAACTCCTAAGAAATCAAAAACTGAACATGTTCCCTATGCTGATAAACAACCGAATCCTGGCACGGGCCTTGGGAAGGTGGTTCTAAATGCAAGAGGCAGTTTACCAACAAAGGCTAGCAGAAAGGATGTGAGGAAGTATGATGATTTTGGCTTACCCATTGATGATGATGATAGCTGACTAGTTCCTGAAAAGAAAGAGGGTGATAGGCCACAGAAGACAACAAACCAACTCCTAACCGAAACTAACTCAACTGTAACCAGCTTTCCTTTTTTCCCACCTCTTAACCAAATTTTAACCATATCATAACCAATTCCCTAACAACATAACTAACTTAACTCCTAACTAATTTCTAACATTATCCTAACAGAATTAACTAACCACATAACCAACTCATGGCTTATTTTACAGCAAACTTCCAGCATATATACATAATAGAGATTGACAGAATGGAGGAGGAGATTTAACAAAAAAAAAGAATGATTTACCTCTCAATCATCTCATTCTGGAACGGGCAGAAGAATCACCACAAAAACCAGGAAAAGCTCTCTCATCTCATCTCATCTTCATCCTCATTCTTCAACTTCCAAAAGAATCAATAAAAACACCTGAACAAATATCCCTATCTCTCTGCAATCTTCTTGGATCCTTTCTCCATAACTGTCCCTCAATCGCATCTTCACAGTTCTTCAGTCATCATCTCACAACTTCAACCTCCACCATTTTCTCCGAACCTTACTCATATCACTCCATCACCAATACTCCCCATTCTCTTCTTCAACACAAAAAACATCATCATCTTTGTTCTCTACACTACAACATGCAACAATAATGAATTCAAAAAACACAAAAGAGAAAAGTTGAATAGAAGAAGATGATCAACGCCACAACAACGCAGAGCACACAGAGAAACAGAAGAAGAATAATAGAGTGAAGAATTCACCTCTGGTTTTCTTGGAATACCAGCATCACTGAAGAACCACCGGAATCCTTTGGTAGGTAATCCTGGGAACTCATTCGATCTTTAATCTCCTCATATCTCTGTATAGCCTAGAGTATGTAGATTCAAAATCGCGGCGAATTCGTACACGACCTTGTCCATCTTTTTGCACTTAGGTTTAGATTCAGTTTTACTGAAGAGAGATGGAATAAGAACACGGGAGAGACGAAGAGAAGAGAAGCAGGGATATGATGTGGTGGTGTCCGGCGGTTCTGATGCTGAAAAGAGCGACGCCATGGTTGCGAGGTTGAGAGAACGACGCGGTGATGAGAAGAAGAGTTTGAGACGGAGCAACTCAGGCGAAGGCCGGCGGCGCCGCTGCTGTTCGCAAGTGGAGAAGAAGAGAACACCTCTCTCTTTTACCCTAACCCCTTTTTCAACTTTCCTATATTTTATTTTTTAGTTTTAATTGTTTTTTTTGTTTTATTTATTCTTTTTGAATCATATTATTACATGTTTTATTCTTTTTCTTATCATTTCAACAAACAAATATAATAATATGATTAATAATAAAATTAAGAATGATTAATATGGGCCAAACTAGTCAATTCTTGGACCATGATCATTTTTATTTTCTTGCTGATTGTGTCCATTTTTGATGGGGCCTAATGTCATTGTATATTTTGCAGCACATAGTGAATTTAGTTCGCACCTCCTGAGATCTTATTTCCCATACTCATTTCGATTGCGACTAATTTTGGCGATTTATTTTCTTTGGCAATATTGGTAAATAAAAGAGACTTGAGTGAGGAGTTTCATGAAGTTTCAAAGCTAGCTAAGAGCATAATTTTCAATCATTCGCTCAAGGAAGCTTTGATAGAATTCTCTTATGGCTTGCATGGTTATGAAGAGGCGACAGACCTTCTCCGTTTGGTATCGTCACAACTCTGTTTTTACTCCTGCACTTTACCACTTTCTAGGTTGAATTCCCTCAAGATTCTAACTTTAGGTCTAATACACGATAACATTAGATTTAGAAATAGGCTAGTCTTCCTGTGACTTTCGTCTTCCTATGACTTTCGTCTTCCTGTGACTTTCCTCTTCCTGTGACTTTAGTCTTCCTGTGACTTTCGTCTTCCTGTGACTTTCGTCTTCCTGTGACTTTCGTCTTCCTGTGACTTTCGTCTTCCTGTGACCTTCGTCTTCCTGTGACTTTCGTCTTCCTGTGACTTTTGTCTTCCTGTGACATTCGTCTTCCTGTGACTTTCGTCTTCCTGTGACTTTCGTCTTCCTGTGACCTTCGTCTTCCTGTGACTTTTGTCTTCTTGTGACTTTCGTCTTCCTGTGACTTTTGTCTTCCAGTGACTTTCTTTCCTCCTTTGCATATGCAGTTAAAACAAAAAAACTTTTTTTTTACAAACTTCAAAAAATACATAAAAATTTACTGACAAAAACCATGTCTTGGCTAAGTTTGAGAGATGATGAGCGGGTTTCTTCTCGACATTATTATTCTCTTGTTCTAAGCTTTGGTATGATTCAAGTCTCAAAGACTCATTTCATGAATAAATAGAGAAATTCCTAAAATCTCTCTCTTGAGGTTAACTAGCTATTATCTACAAGAAAAAACACCAACAAACATAAAAATCTTTTTGCCCTCAGGCCTTTCTTTCAAACCCTTTTCAAAAGAGCGTATTAATTCACTTCTGTGCTGACGCGTAAATCTCCAAAGGTCGAGTTGCGGCAGAAGGCGAGATTAATACTGTTCGTTAAAGAAAATACAAACAAACAAAAACATATAAGCCGAACTACGGCTGCTCTGACTCCTTAAGACGGATACGTAGGCATTGGGGTAGGGCCCAGGCGAGCACAATTTTATTTTCCCTACTCTTTTCCCCTTTCTTTTGCATGCATTTTCCCTCCAGTAGTATAATAGACAGTAAGCATAGATTAAACACACCCATAAGATAGATAACAAGAGTGGATACCGTAGAGTACTACGGGCGTGTGGGGTGCTAATACCTTCCCCTCGCGTAACAGACTCCCTTACCCTTATCTCTTGGTCGTTCGACCTTGATTTCATCCTTCTCGGGTTTTCTCGATGTTTAACTTTCCCTTCATGTGGGATAAAAGACGTTCGATGGCAACTTCATTGTTTGATGATTTTCAGCCGGTTGTTTCAATATGCTGACTCACACTACTCTATTGATATTAAAGATGGATCCAATCAAGTATATCTTCGAGAAGCCTGCCTTGTCCGGAAGAATAACAAGATGGCAGATGATCTTGACTGAGTATGACATCCAATGCACGACCTAAAAAGAAATCAAGGGAAGTGTGTTGGTAGATCATTTGGCACATCAGGCTGTAGACGATTACCAGTCCATGAACTTTGAATTCCCGGATGAGAATATCATGATAGTGACTGACTGTGAAGAACCTGGACCGGATGAAGGACCTGAGGAGGGATCCCGATGGTCTATGTACTTTGATGGAGCTTCAAACGCTTTGGGTAATGGCATTGGTGTCGTGATCATATCTCCTGAAGGCTGTCATACTCCGTTCACCGCCCGACTATGTTTCAACTGCACCAACAATATGGCGGAGTATGAAGCGTGCATCATGGGTCTTCGAGCAGTAATTGACCTAAGGATTAAGTTCTTAAGTGTATTCGGAGATTCTGCTCTCGTGATCAGTCAGATCAAAGGCGAGTGGGATACGAAACATCCAAATCTTATTCCTTACAAGGAGTATGTACTGACGTTGCTTCCACACTTCGAAGAGATAACCTTTGAACACTTCCCTAGAGAGGAGAATCAGTTGGCGGACGCGTTAGCTACAATGTCTTCTATGTTCAAGGTCAGGTGGGACAATGAGGCTCCCCAGATTACCATTGAAAGGTCGGACGAACATGCACATTGCTATGACATTGAGACTGAAGAGGTGGCAGATAAACCATGGTTTCACGAGGTAAAGATGTATCTTGAAGCTCAAGAATACCCCGAGGGTGCATCTGTTAATGATAAAAAGTTTCTGAGGAGGTTCACAACGAAGTTCTTCATCAGTAATGGTATCCTTTACAAGCGTAACCATGATTCGACCTTACTGCATTGTGTGGATAAGAACGAAGCAGAAAGGATTATGGTAGAATTACATGAAGGTACTTTCAGAACTCATTCCAGTGGACATACCATGGCAAAGAAAATCCTACGGGAAGGATATTATTGGTCTACAATGGAAGCCGACTGTTATCAACATTCTCGGACCTGTCACAAGTGCCAAGTCTATGCTGATAAGGTGTATGTACCTCCGGTTCCTCTGAACGTCTTGACAGCTCCGTGGCATTTTGCAATGTGGGGCATCGACATGATCGGAGAGATCAGACCTACTGCATCTAACATGCATCGTTTCATCCTAGTAGCAATTGATTACTTTACGAAGTGGGTTGAAGCAGCTTCCTTTGCTACTGTAAATAAGAACGTCGTGGCACGATTCATTCGGCACAATCTGATCTGTCGATATGGTGTACCAGAAAGGATCATTACGGACAATGGTACAAATCTCAACAATAAGATGATCACCGAGCTCTGCAAGTAGTTCAAGATACATCATCACAACTCTTCTCCCTACCGGCCAAAGATGAATGGGGCTGTTGAAGCGGCTAATAAGAACATTAAGAAGATTGTGCAGAAGATGACGGTGACATATAAAGACTGGCACGAGATGTTACCATTTGCTCTTCATGGGTACCGTACCTCAGCGCGGACGTCAACAGGGGAAACCCCTATTCCTTGGTATATGGCATGGAGGCCATATTTCCCATTGAAGTTCATATACCCTCTCTTCGGATTATGAAAGATGCAGGTTTGAGCGAAGATGATTGGATTCAGACCTGGCTTGATCAGCTGAACTTGATTGACGAGAAGAGACTTACTGCTATTTGTCATGGTCAGACGTATCAAAAACGGATGATCAAGGCATTTAACAAGAAAGTTAGACGACAAGAGTATCAAGTCGGGGATCTGGTGATCAAGCGCATCATCCTACCTCAAGGTGATCCCAGGGGCAAATGGACCCCTACCTACGAAGGGCCATTTGTGGTTAAGAACATTTTCTCAAGAGGAGCCATGATTCTAACCACCATGGATGGTGACTACCTTCCCCACCCCATCAATGCGGACATAGTGAAAAAATACTACGCATAATCAAAGACCCACTAGGTCGACTGGCCTAGGCAAAAATA